TTTATTCACTCTGTCCTGTTATTTACAGTCTGTGCTGGTTTAGCAGCCGGATAAGTTCAGCACATGCAGGACAATCAGCACAGTGTGTATATCCTCCTGTTTGTCTGCTGAATACGGGACGCACGGCGCTGAATATGTCATTCCTGCGTCAGATTTCCTGCCTTTCTCTGCCGTACGGAGACCAAAATGGAAAAGTGTTGTCTTCCAAACTGATGCTTTGGGGGAGAAAAAAAGAGAGAGAACAATAGAGATACAAGGGATAGAGAAGAGAGGAAAAGTTGACAGAAAGGAAAGAAAAAAACATGTGAAAAGGATTTGGAATATGTAACATGTCAGTTCAGCTCGTATGAAATATGTTGAGAGTGAAAAAAGAGACGTTGAGCAAACCAGACAGATTTACAGAGGCCTCAGACAAAAAGAGGAAAAGAGAAAAGGAGGAGGAGGAGGAGGAGGAGGCTGACCGGTGGGAGAGATCGATGGGAAACAAGAGCAGCAGCAACCATGATAGAAACCAGATGTACATGAAGGCCGGAGGAAGAGCGATAGAGCAGAGAGGAGTTTAGAGGACGGAGGGGCGACGGGAGATGACATGATGGGAAGAAAAATGAGAGAGATACTGACGGAGAAGGAGGGAAGAGGGTGAGGAGAGGAGAGACGGGGGGGAAAAGAGAAAGAGACAAAGGGAAATGAGCATGAAGAGGAAGAAAAGGGAGAGGCCTGACACTGATTTCCTCTCTTAAATCAGCCTGTATAATCTAAGCTGACCTACAGCGGGTCAAACAGCTCGCCGGGGCTTTTTACGGATTGTTTTAGACTATTTAAGTGCTCCAGTCTGTCGCAGAGCAGAGCGAAGGCAGCTGAGATTTCACACAACACCGTCCTGCTTTATCGTTTCCATAAAAACAACACACACCAGGAGAAATGTGAGAAATGAGCACGTCGCTCTGTCACGTTTAGCGGCGCTGTCGGGCTTTATGGTGGGAAGCAAATCCACATTGTTAAAAAAAAAAAAAGAAAAGAAAATCATAAAAACTGCAAAAAACAATGACAACTGTCTGTAGAACAATTATATTTTTTGGGCTTTTTTAATTACAGTTAAACAGTGATATGTTATGGTCACACATTTAAAAGAAAAAAAAAGAAAAGAAAAAAATGTAAATTTGAGGTGGATATTATTTGTAGTATTATATATGTGTACGGCCTTTTTTTTTTAACCCCTTACAGTCAGCATGTTTTTTTGGTTTTTTTTTTGTAATTTAATTTTTTTTTTTTTTTTTCTGTAATTCAATAAAACAGGGTAAATCTATAAAATAGTTTTTTAGAAAATAAAAATAATAATTCAGCTTTTTGAAATCCCTAACATACAGAATTTTTTCTTTTAAATTGCAGCAAACATCTGCAGGACACCATCTATATGATGCTGTTAACAATACTGTAAAAAGTGTCATTTTAAAGTAAAATAAAACTAATAAAAATAAACTAATTACCGGTTGTTAAAATATAGATTTTTGATGGAACATAGTTTACAGTTTTAATATATTTATCAACAGCTAACATGTTGATTAATACTTTTTTCTCTATTTTACTAAATATCTGTAATTTAACAAATCAGGGAAAATCTGTAAAATAACAGTAAATTGTTTGTTTGTTGTTTTTTTTTTTTTTTTTTTTTTAAAGCTTCTTTCTTTCTTCTTTCTTTTTGGTCTTTTTTTTTTTAATTACTTTTTATTTTGCAGAGTTACATTACAGTGGACAAATCCCTTGTCCATGCACCTCCTCATCATTAGCATGCAGTCTGGTTCACTGAGCAAAAATCAGTTAAACTTTGACCCCAGGTGACCTTTGTGGATGCAGCTAATCACCGTTTACCGCTTTTAGAACTGAACTCATTTTAATGCTTCTGAGCTGTACGTTAGCAAACTGGCGTCACGTCACAACGATTGCCTTTATAAGATCTGTATGCTAATGCAGACGCTAGGTTTGTTAAACAGTCCAAGTCTCTGAAACAATCTTCTCCAACTCTGTCTTCTTGCTTTGTTCTTCTAGTTTCTTCGATAAAACTTCTCTTTGCAACCAGAAGAATCTCCTCCTGTTGGTCATTACAGTCTGCACGTCACTGTTCAGACCTGAAGGCTTCGTCTGTCTGTTTTTATACAGTCTATGATCTATAATAACACTGAGGTCATTGCTGAGAATACGACAATATTGCAACGATAAATTCCACCAGCGATCGTATGATGAGGCAGGTTGCAAACAAGCCAACAACTGAACCATTTAGAAAACAAACACTTTATTTAGAGGTAGAACTGAAGGTGAACACACAAGTACGTAGATTGTAATGAGAACCGATACTTTGTGCAAAGTCGATGTGGAAATTGTGAAAACGGTTCTCAGCAGGTTGACGTGTGGACAAATCACAGCTAGAGATATTCTAGGTTTGAGTCAGACGATCAGGACAAGTTAAGCCTTAATTAGTCGCACACATGGACATCTGCAGATGCTACACATGTATACAGTCGTGACTCGATTATCCGACTCTTAACAACCCAAAACGTTGCTATCCGAAAAACGAACGGAACCCATTAAAAACAGCCTTAACGTATTGACAGCCTCGGATTCTGACTCCAACATGACATTTTATATCCCCAATCAAGATAACAGCGTATTATCTGACTGGACAATCCCACAGATTGGCTACGTTCACACTGCAAGACTTGATGCTCAATTCCGATTTTTTTGTGAAATCCGATGTTCAGTCACGTTTCCAGTTAAATACGACTTGTATGTGATCTGCTGTGTGAACTTCATACGACCCAAAAGTGTCCCACATGCGCAGAAGAGGACACGATGACGTCACACGCAGTGAGCGTGCTCAGTGTTTATGGAAGTAAACATGGATGGTAACGGTGGAGCGTATCTGCCACTCCCCCGCCACCGACACCAATGGAAACAGAAGTGTGAGCGCTAACTAAACTAGCATCAGCAGCCAAGTACTGCCTGTGCGTTCTGGACACGTCCATCCCAGGGGTGCGCTCTGACCGGGTGGAAGTGGCCGGAACATGCACAATATAACAACTATGAACAATGAATATTAACAACAGATGAGCCTTCCAGCATGAAGCCCTCCTTGTATCTCGACCTCCGTCTTGACAATCCGACAGCCTTGCTATCCGACATAAAGGAAGGTTTTACATTTAGTGTCAGATTATCGACTGTATTTATTGTTATTACACTGAGTTCTTGTTGTTGGACGACTCCATGCGTCCGTACGTGCGCAGTAGGTTGCATGTACGTACTCTGCATATGCACATCAATGCTCTAGTTGCATAGTTGCCACAAAAACTGTCCACCTCAGCCTTTTCCAAGCTCCAATGCAGGTGTTCATTGTAAGATCTTCTTCTTTTTGGAGGGATTAATGGACTTTTCATGGCACTGAAAACTGAAGTGTGTGTTGTAACCTCCAACTTCCAAAGGAGCTGATAAATGCTCCACTTTATTTACCAGCTCGTCTGCCCGCTGCTTGGTGCTGGATAGAAACACAGTGGGTTTACTGGGGGTATTTCCACTGATATAAAAGGGAGACTAAACTCTCAGAACCAAAACAAGGAGCTGAAAGTCACTGCAGTGCTCCATACAGGGGGACTGCAGGGTTTGTGTGGCTGTAACGATTAGAAACCAGGAGTGGAAAAGCTCCGGGCGGCAAACCGCGGCGCTGAAAAGCTGCCATCCTCGTCCGGCGTGTGTCAGAGGCCGCGGACAATCGCAGGAAACCCCGTTAAAGAACGATTCCTGTGATTGACAACGTGATTCTGATCCCGTCTGGCCGGCTGGGCTGTTATCTCCACCCGCCCGGCGCTGCGAGCAAACAAACACCCGCTGATGCTTTACTTTCATTAAACTTGTTCGTCTCTTTTAGTTTCAAAAAAGCAGAAGCTGCCAGACGGAGCGAATGGAAACACCCTCTGCCATATATTCTTGGCAGAGCGGCGCTGATGTGTGCGACTGTTTGCTGATGCATTTTAACACCTATGTGCGGCCATGTTTGTCCCCGAGCGAGCATGTATGTGCACAGTCATGGAGAGCTTCCCTTCTTGGAACACATGTTGCTGGGCGTGTTGTTTTTTCAAGTCTCTTGCACTTTGCTGTGTACATCTGTTACTGTTTTCCATTCTAAACTTTCCCAATTGAGGGAGATGAAACTGTACAGCACATGTTCTTCCTTCCCTGAGGTCCATGCCATCCCTTGTTCCCCCTTTTTCTCTCCCTTTTTTCATTTTTTCTTCTCTCCCCTCCTTTTCTCTCAGGTCCGATGTGGAAAATGCGGCATCACTGAAACCACCGCCGCTGCCGTCCAAGTCTCCTAAAATAAAAAGTAACCCTACCCTCCTCTTTTATTCCCCTCTTCTCTCTCGCTCTCTCTGCTGTTTCCTCCCTCCTCCACCCCCTCCTGCCAAACTGCTCCACCCTGCACAACAACACACAGAAGCAGCAAATCTAAATCTTTGCTCGTTCTCCCTTCTCTTAATTTAATCTCTCTTTCACACATATTTGCATCTGCCAGCCTCCCTCTGCCTCCGTGTGTCACCGATCACACCATAAGTGGGTGGGGACGGTAAACAAAAATCCCCAGAGATGCAACAGAGGGCTCTTTTTCGTCCCGTGTTCCTTCTGCGAGTCGACCGCAAGTCTCACCAACGTCACGCAGCTTAAATCATGACGGTATGATTTAGTGGCATGTGGGATTTTACATCTTTGCGAGCGCTGAGCTGCGACTTGTAGCTGCTGACTAAACTTCTTCCCAAATCAAACACATGCTTTTCGTGAGACATGAATGATTTACAAGTATAAAAGTGATCCTGATTTGGGAGCACATGTGTAAATTAGATGTTTTTTTTTATTGTATTTAAGGCAGATGTGTCAGAAAAACTGAAGCACTTTGTGTCTGAGCAGAAAAAAGTGACATTTTTTCCTCAAACACAACATGAAAAACGGGGACTTACCATGACTTCAGTCAGGAATTCCTACATCGTCCTCAGATCCTTTCCTGGATTCGCTTCCTCTCCACATTCTCTGTTGAACTTTCTGCTCCCGGTTAGAACCAGACTACCTCCGTTACCTCCTCTCTGGATCCCTTCTTTCAAATCTTTTGTAAGATTTCAGAGCGTGGAGGAAAGAAAAAAAACACAACAGTCCTCCTCTCTTCTTCCCCCTCCAACACTCTCTGCTGTATTTCCCAGCCTGGGAATGTCCGAGCTGCATTTTTTTTTCTCCCCCACCTCCCCTCTCTTCCCTCCCTCTCTCTCTCCGTCTGGCTGCCCCGGCAGTCCCACGCATGCACTCCCACCTCCCTCCCTCGCCTCTCCTCCTCCCCCGTCTCACCTAACAAGAGCACTACAGTCTCCTCTCCGCTCTCAAACTTTCCATTTTTTTTCCTTCTCCCCTCCCAGAGTAAATGAATAGACAATGTAAAAACCGTTACCCCACCCAGAAACCTCCAGCGTTTTTATTGTTGGGCTTTTTATTTTATTCCAAGTGGGAGATAATCAAGTCCATTCCTAATGAAGGCTGATTTGATCAAAGGGGGCTGTGGCAGTCACTGAGAATGCAGCGTTTACTGTCTGTTTCTGCACGTGTTTCTCCAAAAACATGAGGTTTTGCACACATGAAAGAGGAGCTAAAGGCTTGTTTGTGCTGTTGCTGCTGCCACGGTGGTTGGAAACTTGCAAGAGAAAAAGAGAAATTGGCGCAGCAGATAAAACGTCCTTACTGATCCCCATATTGCAGCATCTTTTTGACGTTTTCTACCCTGTAAATGTGTCTTTTCTGCTCCAGGACTCTCCCCACGACAAATAAACCCAGCATCACGTGCACAAATTGCTCCATAAAAGCAATTTGCGATTAAAATATGTTAGCCAGGCTGAGCTTTAGAACATTATTCATGGGATAAAAGTGCATTTTACATCACGCAGCATCTGAACTGAAAGTGAATTTCAAATTTGAAATGAGAGCTCATTAAGTCCATTCCTAATGAGGCTTGATTTGATCAAAAGGGCGGCGGCAGTCATTGAGAATGCCGTATTAACTGTCTGCTTCTGCACGTGTTTCATGCATATGAGCTCCAAAACATGAGGTTCTGGACACGTTAAAGAGGAGCTAAAGGGTTCTTTCTGCTTCCACGATGGTTGGAGACTTGCAAGAGGAAATATCCTGACTTATTTATCTCTGTATAAATGCCAGTATTCCATTTTACAGTCCAATTGTAGCCTTAGTTTAGCTTATTTTATGTCAGTATTGCATCGTACTTTTATCTTAGTGCGTTTCTTATCCTCTTATCTTGTCTTATTGTCACTTTAAGAGCTCAAGTTTCAAAATCTGGCTGCTGATTTTATGATTTTAGCACCTTTATTGACATTCTTCACCTTGTAAATGTGTTTTTTACACTCCGAGACACTCAAACAAACTGAGCGTCACGTGTACAGTTACTGGAAAGCTCTATAAAAACGGTTCAAATGTGTTTTCCAGGCTGAGTTTTAGAACATTATTTATGGGATAAAGTGCATATATGTAAACTAAAAGTAAAATCTAAGATGTTTTGATTCCGTTTCTGATCTAAACGATCCTTCAGTCACATGTTTCCTGTATGGAGACCTTTACGACGATGCCATCACTCACTTGGATTTGTAATCAGAGCTCACCAACTTTGCTTAATAGCTGTGATTTTCTCAATTAAGCACTTAAGTTCCCCCAGAAAGAACACAACATAATGGCTTTCAAATTGGCTTTACACCGCCGCCCGTGTGAGCCATGTGTTGGAGCCATCTCCTGCAGACCTTTGAAGGGAAATCCTACTGATGGAGGCTTTTTTCTTCTTTTTTTTTTCCCCCCAGATACATAAACATTCAGTCACGTTGTCGGTTTTGAAGTGACTCACAGTTTCTCGTGGATTCTGCTGCCTTATTTCCCTAAACATGGTGCCACGCTGGTTGCTGTACCATTCCTAAATTTAACCTCTATGGTTTGCGTTCAAACCGCTTTCATTACAGGAATGGAGTCAGGTTGGAGCTGCTGTAGGTCAACAGCGCCATCTTGTGGTACATGTGAGATATTGCACACAAAAAAAAATGGAGAAGGAGAAACATTCGTTAGGGATACATCTTTTCATGTAGATTACATAAAAAAGAGCAAATAAATGAATTAATAATATGACAATAGATGGAGGAGAGAACTGACTTCTACTCTCTGAGATATTAATGGAAAATATACATTTGTCTTTATTTGCACAAAGAAAAGAGATGTTTTTATTTGTTTGTTTGTTTGTTTGTTTGTTTGTTTAAGTCTAACAGTTGTAACTAGAGTCCAGTTTATCCAAAACATAAAGAAAGCAAAAACAATTGTGTATGACAGTGGAATCATCATCCTTCATGTCTCCTGGGATTGGCAGGTTATGAGAACTTGTTGGGAACGAGTTCATAAACATAAAAACCTTCAAAATAAACCATTTGCAGAAATCAGATTTGGGTAAAAATCCATCCATCCATCATCTATACACCGCTTAGTCCTCACTAGGGTCATGGGGGGCTGGAGTCTATCCCAGCTGACTCAGGGTGAAGGCAGGTTCACCTGGATAGGTCACCAGTCTATCACAGGGCTACACTTAGAGACAGACAACCAAGCACACTCACATTCACACCTACAGAAAATTTAGAATCACCAATTAACCTCAGCATGTTTCTGGACTGTGTGGGAGGAAGCCGGAGAACCCAGAGAGAACCCACGCTGCACGGGGAGAACATGGAGACTCCACGCAGAAGGATCCCGGGTGTCCTCGTGAACCAGTGACCTTCTGGCTGCGAGGCAACAGTGCTAACCACTGAGCCACCTTGAGGCCCTATCAAAAACATAAAGAAAGCAAAAACAATTGTGTATGACAGTGGAATCATCATCCTTCATGTCTCCTGGGATTGGCAGGTTATGAGAACTTATTGGGAACGAGTCCATAAACATAAAAACCCTCAAAATAAACCATTTGTTTGGTAAAAATAAAGAAATCTGCAACACTTGCTACAACAGTCATGTGACAAACAGCAGGTTGTGTTTATGAAGAACTAATGGGAGACAAAGTATGAGGAAAATGTAAGGAGCAGAACATTCAGCTAATTCCTCTCATTGCTGGTAACACTTGAGGGCCCCGGGGGAAAATGTTTTACATGTTGATTCCTGGCTTTTCTGTTTTTTAAATCTATAAATATCAACTTTTAGTTTTTTTTCTACTGGAGAAGCAGCTGTAATAAGGGCATTCTTGTTGTAAATGCAGTGGAAATTGTAATAACTTGCAAAAGAAAACTTCGACAAACAAACGACAAAGGAAACGCTGAAGAAGACGTTGCTCAATGTGGAATCGAGGGATAAAGTTTCTGTGTGAAACTTGGCTCGCGGACACACCGGCCAGGAAGGACCAGCAGAACAAGGTGGATTCCTGCTCAGCTCGACATTAATCATCAGGGTGTGTTCATACCAGCTGAGTTTACGTTGCGCTGCTGTTCATGTCGCTGTCCTCGCTGCTCACACTTCATCAAACCCTCAAGACAGAGCCACACCTAAAGCATCGCACCCTGACGGGAAGGAGCGTGATCTGCTTTTATTAAATATAATTGTGCCTTTAAAACTGTTTTGTTTGTAGGTGCAATATAATTATAAGGCTTGGACAATACAGGCCTCATTAAGTTTGTTTTAGAGCAGAAGCAGGATCTTCCTGATTCTTTTTCTGCTCCTCATATCAGTTCTATTTACGCTGCCTACAAAGAGACCTCTTGCATATTTTTGCATATTAAGACGCAGCAGCACAATGTGGAGATTGATTAATTCTTCCCTTCCTCAAGGTCAATCAGACAATTACAGAACTGTGTCATTTTCTGTTGTTTTAAATGCAAATTTTTTATTACTTTGATGTGCCGATAATTTTGCGAGTTTCATCCGCGGTTCGTCTCCAAGGTCTCAACAGAAGGAGCTGAGGTGATATAACAATGTTAGAGCTGCACGTGGAGGCATGTCTGTACACCAGAAACTAATCATGTCCACAGGTATTCAGAAGGAGCACTCATTTATTATGTCACAATTATTATTGGAATGATGACTACATGTTTTACATTTAAACATCTGGATGCCAAAACCTGCCATCAGGTTTGAAAGGCATCTTTTAAAAATCACCAAAGCTGCATATTTGTTAGACTGAGAAACTAATAACAGAAAGAATCATCAGAACATTCCCACAGTCCTCAACTAATCATGTTGTTCAATCGGTAAAATGAACCGAATCAAAATTAGCTAAGATATGTCTCATTTGGCTGCAAGGTGGCTCAGTGGTTAGCACCGTTGCCTCGCAACAAGAAGGTCCAGAAACATGTTGAGGTTAATTGGTGATTCTAAATTGTCCGTAGGTGTGAATGTGAGTGTGCTTGGTTGTCTGTCTCTAAGTGTAGCCCTGTGATAGACTGGTGACCTGTCCAGGTGAACCTGCCTTCACCCTGAGTCAGCTGGGATAGACTCCAGCCCCCCTACAACCCTAGTGAGAATAAAGCGGTGTGTAGATGATGGATGGATGGATGGATGTCTCGTTTGGAAGTTCAGCAAAAAAAATGTAACCATCTGCAGAAACCAGATTTGGGAAAAACCAATAAATCAGAAGCCATCAGTGACTCAAACAGTCAAATATTCAGGGACTTGAACTGCAGAAATATACTCAAATTAGAAATGTAAGTAGTTAAATGTTTATAGAGTTAGTACATTAGTTTCCAGTATTAGTGACAACGATGGACACTTGGAAAGGTGGTGTGCAGGTTGATTACAGGTTTTTTTTTGTTTGTTTTGTCTTTTCTTTTATTCATGAATAATAACAATATAATTTTATTATGACACAGAAAAGATTTATTTTTTCATACTCTGTATTTCTAGAATGATTCCTCGTGAAAGTGAGTACAAATGTGACAGGAGCAGAAAAAAGAAGCCCAGAAACTGCAGGCCGGGGTTTCAGAGGGTTAAATAACTGCCAGGTCCGACCGACTCCATCAACAATTCTGGATTACTGAAAGAGACAAACATGGTCTAAAGCAAAATCCATCCAAGTTTAACATAGTTATTTCTAACTAAATATGCATTCCAGTGTGTACAGCGTCGTTCCTCGTTGCTATGGACTTGTGGCTTGTTTGGAGCTGTAGTAATAAACCCTCTCTGCTCCGTCCTCAGCACCTAAAGGGACAGAAGGAGCTGGTGAGGAAACCTACAATACATGAGGATCAGAATATATACATGGGGAAACCAGAAGTTTACATACACTGTATACAAGATATAAAATCTTCTTTTTTCTCACTTTCTTGTTTAAGTCATTCAGGATTACCAGAATTATGTCTATTTGTAAAGAATTCTTTATTACTTTCTTCAAAATCAGAAGTTTACATAACTCAGATTATTATGTCTTCAAACTATTTTGGGAAAGCCTACATGATGATGTCATGGCTTTGGAAGCTTTTGATTAATTCATTTGAGTTAATTGGAGGCACACCTGTGGATGTATTTTAAGGCACACCTCAAACACGCTGCTTCCTTGTGTGACTATGTGGAAAAATCTAAAGACATCAGCCAAGATGTCCGGAAGAGACCTGCGGACCTGAATCTTGATAATCCTAACTGACCGAAAACAGGAAAAGTTTAGTCTGATTTAATGTCAGACAGTGAGAAAAAAAAAGGTTTTATGAACTTCTGGTTCCAGCTGTATGTGGTGTAGGACCCACCTGACTGGCAGATGAAGTTGAGGAGCTCCTGACAGGGCAGGTCCTTCCACAGGAAGCTCTGTGTGCTGTCCAGGCCTCCACAGGAGTTGGAGGAATGCTGAGGGACGAAGTCTGGAGGCCATTTGGTGAAATCCATGGAACTTCCGGACATCCAGTACCAATTCTTTCCCATTATGTATCTGTCCAGCACATTTTGGAACACATCTGATCACACACAACGCTGCTGTTTATACGTTTTCAACCTGCTTGTTGAGTTTCACGTGATTGTTCTCTAGTTGACATTTTCTCATCACATTTTTTGCCGATCAATTCTCTGTCAGTGGATAAATGGTTGTAATGACTGTGACCACGTGCGGCCTTGGTCGTGCGTGTCTGTCTTAGAATGGCTGCAAATAAGCAAATACAAAAGGCGCACTGCATTTGACTTAAAAACCTGCGTCTTTTGAGTATCCTGCATATGGATTTGCAAAATTCAAATCCTCAAGCATCTGGACAGAATGGAAATGGAACAGGGCAGCTGCTGTCTTAGTGGACTGCAGGAACTTGAACCTTCAATGTGGAGAAAAAAAAACTGCAAAGATTTTGTTGAAATTGGACCCACCCATTGCTGAAGTTAAATGGTGAATGGACTCCACTTCTATAGCACTTTTAGCAGCAGTGGTGGTCTTGCACATTGTTGGGGCCATTATGAGTCACTTTTGTAGACATTTTGTGTGTCTCTGCTAATTTCTTTGTGGTTATTTCATGTCTTTTCGTAAGAATCTTGCATTTCTGTGTAGCTGTTTCAAATTTAAATCACTTTCTAGTCATTTTGCATCTCTTCGTGGATGCTGCATGTTTCTTCACATGATCTAAATCTAACAAACACAATCTAGACTCGTACCTGTGCAGTCCCAGCCAGACGGAGCCTGTCAGAGGGAAAGAAACGCGAGCCAGCAGCTTCTCCACCTCACTTTGCTCCTCCTGACTGTGCAGACTGAGCAGGTCCCAGTGATAACGCCTGCAGTAGAACAGAGCGTCAGACCAGCAGAGCCTCTTTCCCACCACCATCATGTTCCTTCCACCCAGCGGCGAGCTCATGGTCGGGGGAGGAGGAGGAGGAGTTGGAGTCTCAGCTTCTGGCACTGAAGAGAAAGAATGTCATTTTTTGGGGGCAGGCTTTTCAGGAAATGTGGCTTTGGATTGTTTAAACCAGAAACACTGCACTCTGTATTATGTTCAGTTTGTCCTATGTGCTGTAGTAAAGGACAAAAGAATATCTTTAGAAACCAGGAAAGTACTAGAGGCACTGCAGGTAAACTGGAGTCTCATCTGCTGGATGTAATATTCATAGCAGACATACTAGCTGGGAAGGCGTACACCTCCACTTCACACAGTGTCAAAACGTTGTCTCCTGGAATCGCCACAGTGACGTAGCGGCCCTCCATGAGGTTACACTGGAAGGTGAATGTTCTTCTGTTGTCCAGCGAGAAGATGGCACCACATCTAATGGAGGGAGAGGAAAAGTCTCAGGTTTATTCACAAAAACTAACATTTCCTCTCATGCAGTTTACCAGATTTTGTCTCTGCTATCGTTTGTCCAGATCTCATGCCTCACCTGGGGTTTTTCATGCCATTGTTCTCCAGTGAGTTCCCGATCAGAATCTGTGCGCCCAGAAGCCTTTCGGCACAACAGTCGACCCTGTTGAAGATGGTGACGGCGCTGACCTTGTGGACAGCCAACAAGTCGACTCTCCACCAGGGGTCCCGCTGGAGCACGGTGTGGGTACAGCATAGATTTCCATAGACGCCACTGCTACAGCCACTGACGGCGTGAGAGGGCAACCCATCACTGGACACTGTTGACTGTGCTGCTGGTTTGTTTAGGGCCACATTCGGAAGAGGTTCCACTAAAGTGAAAAAAAAGGACAACAAGTGGGCACGAATCCATGTCAGGTTGTGTTTCAATACGTCAAAGTCAGGAGCGTAGAGCTTTACCTGCTGGGACAGCGTACACTTCCACTTCGCACAGGGTCAGAGTCTTACTCTTTCCAGGGATCATCACGTTGACGAAGCGGCCCACCATGCTGCCTCCATCACACTGGTATGTGGAGGTCTTACCTGCTGCGATGTGGGAGATGGTAGCACACCTGATGGTGGAATCAGTGGGGGGAACACTTGTGTTAATATTGTGAGCTTTACATTGAAAGATTTTAACTTTTAAGTAATGAACATGGAAAGGAATCTACATTTTAAAGACTCTCTTGATGTGTTTTCTCTGATAGGGATGAAGGAATCTCAATCTGGACAAACATGATTCCAAAATAGATCACAGACGGTTGTATTGGATTCTTTGGTAGCTGATAACTGATTCTGGATAGTGCATCTGTTAATGGACAGCTATTGGTGGTGGCATCATATAAACACTGAAGTATTGTTGTTCTAATAATCGTAAAAAGACAGAAAGTCTTGTCAGTGCCTGGGGTTGTCGTTTCCATTGTTCTGCAGCGAGTCCCCGACAAGGATCTCAGCTCCGTCCAGTCTTTCAGCACAGCAGTCTCCTCTGTTGGTGACTTTTATGGAGATGATCACAAATGTTTGTCGCAGGTCCAGCCTCCACCAGGGGTTGGTCTCGCCTACAGCAGTGTGGCTACAGGAACCGTGGCTGTAGAAGGAGTTCCGTCTCCCATCGATGGCTTTGGAGGCGGCGGCAAAAGAGAGCGTTGACGACTGGGCGGCTTCTCCTTGCAGCGCCACATTGGGTAAAGGCCGTGCTTGAAACAAAGCCACAAACACCATCATTTGTTTTGTTTGGGTTGTTGTTTCATTTTTATTATACGGGCATTAAATGCATAGGACTTCCATATTAATGCTGGTAAAGGTGCGCTGTGAGGTGAGCTTGGCGGCCACACTGCAGATGCCATTACAGATTTGACCCTCATTGATTGTGATTATAAAAGGAACAATCAACAAACTTTACTGAGTTAGGTGAATTAACTTTTCCTCTACAATCAAAGGAATCTTTAATCACCAGTCTTAATCAATCTTAAATGTTCCAGGCATGTTAAGATAAAGGAGGGGACTGACGTTATCAAGCTAGTTTAATTGAGCAACTTTAACTTGAATTTAATTTTAGATTCCCTGATGCAGAAATTTGAATTTAATTACATAGTGTGGCTGATTTACTTTTTATATGTATCGCAAACACCCTGAAATAACTTCATTTAGATCCTGGTGCTATTCCCTGTTAACAAAGGAACACTGACATGAACAATCGAGGCCTGACAGAGCTGGTGAACGACCACATTTATCTACGTTATACACACTGAACTGTCGTTACCATAGTTTGCAACGAACACTTCAACCTCGCAGAGAGTCAGGACCTTCTTGCTTCCTCGGAGAAGCACAGTGACGTAGCGTCCCTCTGCAGGACTGCAAGAAAAGTAGAATGCGCGTCCCTTCGGGATGTGAGAGATGACTGCACACCTTTGAAAATGAGTAGAAAAGAAAAGAAAAGTAAGAAGAGCACAATCTGCTTCACATGACAAAGTTATTGTTTGGGTCAGTATCCAGCTGCTTCACCTGTTTTTGATGTCATTGGTCTCTACTGACTTTCCAATCCAGATTTCGGCACCATTCAGCAGGTTTTCCTGCTCATTTCTGTTGGTTATTATTACAGCAGTAATGCTATTCACGCTCCCTAGGTCTACCCTCCACCACGGATCAGATTCTTCCTCTGTTTGCGTGCAGGACCCACTTTGAAATCTTGCATTTCTGTTCCCATCAACTGCGTTGGCAGCAGCACCCAGATCACTGCTTTCTGAAGACTGGACGGCTGTACGATGCAGCGCCACGTTATGGAGAAGGTTACCTGGTTGATAAGAAAAAAAATCAGTTAGTTAAGAAAACACAGGATGTACTGAAGAAAAAAAAAAACGCTTACCTGTCAGCGGTCCAAACGTCAGCAGGAAGGAAATGCCTGTTCAGTGATAAGACAACACAGAGATAATCAGAAGAGATGCATTTCTTTAAAAGGACTCAAGCATTAACTAAAGTACAATTTAATCTTAAACTAAGTGCTTTAAACAGAAAATTAAAAAATAAAACGTAAGAGGATCTCCATCTATCAATATGACCGTGGACACGCCAGTGAAATAGATACTGATGTCCATATAATGTCAGACAAGCAAAAGGAATCCTGATGCCAGGAATGTAGTAAGTCCAGTTGAAGTCATCCACACCTCTATGCTGTGTATGTATGCTCTACGTATTTACCAAAATGCTCTGTGGAGACCAAAATGAAGCTAAAAGGAGAGTAAATACTGAGCTTACACATTGGACGGGAACACTAGTTGTGCAGTTACTGTACGTACGTATATAGCCAAGCATAAAGTAGAATTTAATAGTGTAAGAAACAGTGTCTTACCACTAAGGATCCAAATGTACCGACTCCCCCTCATGTCTGCGGACACAATCCAAGAGTCAAGAGTTACATCAGTAAAGCACAATTAAGGCTGATAATCAGGAGCAAATGTCGCCGCTGTGCTTTTTCCTCTGAGCATCACCAATCACATGCTGTCGTATCAAATAGGTTCTGGTATATGAGAACATGTAAATTCTCAGTCAGGGATGTTTGCATGAAGGACAACACACCCAAATGGATGTCTGCCTCTTGAAATAAGCATTTTCCTGAACTTTATCGTTGAATTGTTTTAATTTTTAAAGCGGTGTTTGTTTGTTTGTTTTTTTATTTGTCAGTTTGATCACACGTTAGAATTTACTCTTACCTTATTATATATTTAGAGTCAACACTGGCAAAGATTTTGAATTATTTTAGACATGTGTGTACCTGAACCTCAGGCAAATGGAAATGCGAGGCGAGGCAAGCATATTTGTATAGCATGTTTTATACACAAAGCCAATTCAAAATGCTTTGCATAGTGCATTAAAATGTTTGAAAAGAATGAAAAACAGCAGAAAAACATTGAAATGCTAATTTAAAAAAAAAAAGGAAAACTATAAATAACTTCAGAAAAGCAGAAGATATTTTACTAAAGTTGCAGAGAATGGACAGTCGATATTCTCCCTGCTCTGGAATGCAGCTACATAATAGTGTACACAACAACTTTCAGCAAATGAAGGTGATTCATCTTCTCTTTCTCCTGAAACTGATTAGAATTGTTGCAATTTCAAAATGAATAAGTCTTTAAAACTTACATAACATGGGTGTTCTGTTGTTAAACTGTTGGTCATTTTCAGGTTGTGTAACAATATGACATGAAGTGTAATAATTGAAGTTGTAGAAAATCTGCCTTTACTCCCATGGCACCGTGTGGCAGTAACATGTGTCCATTGGCTTAACAGGGAGTGGCTGAAAAGTCAATGTTCACAAATGTACAACGTTTTTAAAGGTGAGAAACAGCACTGATAATAAAGGTTATCTGCTTTTTTTCACATCTGACTGTAGGACAGTGAGTGTGTAATTTGCTACATAGCACTTTCTTTCGTGTCTCTAAAAATCTGTCTTTGTGAAAGCTGTTTGAGTCTGATTACACTTCCTGCTCTTCAGGATTGTGAATCCAGTTTCTTTTGACAAAGTCAGTTAAGCGTTTAATGGCATTAAAGAATTAAGAACTTGTATGACTGCAAGCTTAAAGGTATTCATTATGTTTAACTGACAAACCACAACAAGAGAGAACACATTACTTTGATTCCTAGATCCCTGCACTGTCTTGCAGAACTGACTTTTAGTGTCCTAAAAGTTGAGCACACACCTGGTCGGTGTCTCAGATCGGCAGATCAGTTGGTGTCATCCAGAGTTCAGATCAGACTCAACTCAACTCAACTCAAACTTTATTTATAGAGCACATTTAAAACAACCGGGGTTGACCAAAGTGCTGTACAGAATGAAA